GGGGGCTGCAGTGCCCGGGGGGGGGTGTACCTGCCACATGGTGCTGCCTGGGGGGTGCGGTTTCGGTGCCATCTCTTTCGGGCGGGTAGCAACGCTCTTCTCGTCCGAAAAAGGGGGCTTGAAAGTAGCCGTCGTGCGGGGAGTGACTGCGAAACGTGCTGAAAATACGGCAACAGTTAGGGAAAAAAATCCCCAGACCCGAGGAAAAGTTGACGGGGGAGGAGCAAACCGCATCTTTCCGCAGACAAACTACGTTTTGCCTCAAGCCCGACGCCTTTGTTGGTACCTGGCCCCAAACTTCCCCACGGCCACTTCTCAATAAAACCACGGTCACCAAAGGAAAACTCTTCCCAGAGCAGGAGGCAGCTCTCTCACCGGGGGCTGCAGTGCCGGGCTACCTAATAACTCCTCTGCCGGGCAGAACCTTGACCCCGTGCCTGTCGCATCTAACTAACGCCCTTTCCAGCCATTTTGACGGGCTTTTGGCCAAATCTGGGTTTCTTAGCGCTCTGGTCAGACACACAACAGAGAGGCAGAGCAGAGCCCTGCAACTCCATACCATGGTGCCTTCGGGAGTAACAAAGCTGAGCAGGAATGGACCCATCTGTTTCTTGTGGCAGATCCACTATTGGAAACGTGGCACCGGTGATGGGAGGCAGCGCTGGCTGACAGTGGTGTGACGGTTGCGGCAGCTGCCAGGAGTTCGGCGCTGCTTGAACCGGCTCCCCTGCACCCAGCCGTACCCAGCTCGGCCGGTCCCGTGTCACCTTGCCCCCCTGGCCTTAGCTTGTGCCGGTCGTGCAGTAGAAGTCACAGCATGGAAATGTCCAGGGTGGATTTGTGCTGTCAGGTGAAAACACGACAGCAAAGGCGATGAGAAAGATGCCATCAGGCAGGCAAAGAGTGCCCAACGGAGAGCGCCTGACTTCTCTGAGTGGGTTGAATACCTCAGCTCCGAAGAAATGGCTTTCAAAGCAATGAATGAAAACAAATGGAAACCATGTCACGAGTATGACACAGAGAAAAAACGTGCCAGATTGCCTGTACTTGCAGATTGATCGGGGTGAGGGCCCCGATTTGGGTGCCGGACCTTCCCTGAGCCCCCTGCCCACTCTCCAGGCAGGCCCCACCGACATTTTGGCCGAGGCGCAGCAATACTCCCCCTGCACCGCGCCTGCTCGTTTGGGGACTTGCCACCACGCTTGGAACCCCGAAGCTGCTCAGCAGGACGCATGTGGCTGGGTGGCTCCTGGGCCGAGGGGCCCCCCCCCCCCCTTTGCTCAGTTCACTAGCAGGGGTGCAGCCTAAACCCCGAGAAACTTTGGGGCAGCGGGCCGGCGGGCAGGATCCCGCCTCCCCCCAGGAGAGGGCAGCAGCACTCCCGCGCATCGCCCCGCCGAGGGGCGGCGGGGGGGGGGGGGCTGGAAAAGGGCCCTCGGCGCGTCCCACACGGCCCCGACAGCACCCGCATCCCCGGGGAGCGATGGCAAGACCCCCCCGCCACGAGCAGCCGCTCGCCCTCCTCACCGGGGGTCTCCCGCCCGTGGGGTCTGCAGGGGCACCGGGAAGGACCCGGGGGGGGGGGGCAGAGCTGCGTCTTCATCTTCGTGGGTCAAGGGGGATGCGTTTTCCCGCGTCTCGAGGGAGTTAAATATTGTCCTGCGAGAGAATGTGTTCTTCGTGTGAGTGGAAAACACGGGGCAGAGGGGGGAAAGAAAGATTTAAAACATAAAGGGGGGGGGGGAAGAAAAAAGGGGAAGAAAAGGAAAAAAAGCTTAAGAGTTTCAGCTGAAATCTCTGAGGCATAACCAGAATACAAACATTTCTGGCATTAATAAATGCGTTGCTGCAGACCTGCAAGGAAGACATCTCCTCATTAAGTAGTACTTCTTTTAACATTACAAAGCAAAATTAGAAAGGCACTAGCTTTTTCAGCTATGGTTCAGAAGCAGGGCCTGAAGAAGGCATGGGCCTCTTCTCTGATAATAGATGAATTTTGTTACCAGGCAGAAATCAGCATTTACCCTAACTGACAACTCAGCTGTCAAGCAAATTTGGTTAGTTTTCTTATCCAAGTGCTGCCATCACCTTTCTGCTCAACCTCATCAAAGGGATTGTACTCACAACTAAAGCAAGCAGGATTTGGCCTTGACCAGCAAATCTCAGAAATAACTCTAAGACTATCAGAAGTCTTGTGTGGTTACATAGTCCCGATTATTCTTGAAAACACATCCAAGTATTTCAGTACCTGCCCTGACTACCGGAAAAACTGTGTGTCATTCAGCAGAAGAAAGAGTCTTACTTTAACAGCGTAGAAACAACACAGCAAATGAATATTGATTTCCTATGCCATCTTGCTGGATCTGTGGAGATGGCAGTATGAACCAGGGAAAATGAGCAGTTTGAAGCTGTGAACCTGGTTGTCCCCTCTGTTTGTCTCCCTGTTGCCTTCAGTGCTCTTTCTCCTGATTTATGCCACTGTGAGCTGAAAACCGAACCATTTTTTCAAGTTTTCTCGTTATCTTCGAAGAATGATGGCTTGGATAAAGCCTTTTAACCAAAGGGCTGGAAAAGGAGGGACAGACTGTAAATCTCAAGGCAGGGCCAGAAAATTAAGTGATAACCTGAATGTAAGGAATAAAGAGGGAAAGGAGTCAGGGACGACTGGGAGGCTGGGTGCTTGGGGAGTGGGACAGCCTTGGGAAGGGAGACCGGGGCAGGCAGTGGCTCAGAGGGCAGGAAGAAAGGGGAGACGGGGCTCTGCCTCCTGAGCCGAAACTGCTGCCCAGGAGATGCTTATATTCTGAAATAGGGGCCAGCGAGAACAGGGATGTGTGAGGGTTGTCCATGGAGAGGTGGCTCTGGGGTTGTGGAAATGGAAATCCTGGGGTTTTTAATCTTGACTAATTTCATTGCAAAGATGGCAAAGCTCAACATGAGCAAAGGATCAGTGTATTACATCTTCGTTGCACAACCCCTGCCTGTGGAAAGCTTTTCTTCCCCCTCTCCATTACATTCCTGTGTGTACTTCTGTGTATTAATTCACAGAGCTGAAGCTGGCTCCTTCATATGCTGGTTGTGGCTGATGTCAAAGCCTACCAGTGGGTCACCCAATTCAATGACTGTTTTCCAGACTCCACAGAGCACCAGAAAGCAGTCCAGAAGACAGTTGCACATAAGTAATTAATTAAGGGCATGCACACATCCCCATCACACTCAACAAAATGAACTTGTGAGGAAATAAATATGTTAAATCAACTATCATCATGTTGACACATTTTTGGCTAGTTGCAAGTGAAAATCATCTCAGCAATAGTGCACAATGGTCTGAGCCAATTCTTACTTTCAAAAGGTTATGTGAGCTTTGTTTAAAAACAGTTGACAAACACCTGTCTAGCTGCACTATTTCTGACCAGCGTGAGCCACTGTGCCTGTTAGCACTGTCCTGTTGGAGCATTATTTTTCTATGTGCATAGCAAAGGACATGAAAGCCTTTTCACTCAGGGCAAAAAGACAGAGTCACATCTGCACTAAACCATGAAGAATGAGCAAAATAACAAGTCAGAAAACAAACCCCAGTTGATTTACAACCATTCAGTCTTTAATTCAGAAGAACCCTATGCTGGTTTTGGCTGGGATAGAGTTAATTTTTTCCATAGTAGCTAGTACGGGCTGTGTTTTGGATTTGTGCTGAAAACAGTGTTGATAACACAGGGATGTTTTCGTTACTGCTGAGCAGTGCTTACCCAGAGCCAAGGGCTTTGCTGCTTCTCACCCCACCCCACCAGCGAGGAGGCTGGGGGGGCACAAGGAGCTGGGAGGGGACACAGCCGGGACAGCTGACCCCGACTGACCCAAGGGGTATTCCAGACCATAGGACGTCATGCTCAGCATATACAGCTGGGGGAAGAAGAAGGAAGGGGGGACGTTCGGAGGAATGGCGTTTGTCTTCCCAAAGTAACCATTACACGTGATGATGGAGCCCTGCTGTCCTGGAGATGGCTGAACACCTGCCTGCCCAGGGGAAGTGCTGAAGGAATCCCTTGTTTTGCTTTGCTTGTGCGCACGGCTTTTGCTTTCCCTGTTAAACTGTCTCTAGCTCAACCCACGAGTTTTCTCACTTTTACCCTTCCAATTCTCTCCCCATCCTGCCAGAGGGGAGTGAGCAAGTGGCTGTGTGGGACTGAGCTGCTGGCTGGGGTTAAACCACAACAAACCCCCAAATTTATCAGTGGCTTTGCAAGTCAGATGCCAAATCCCGTCCTTCACTCTCGAGCACTCAGGAGCAATAACGCTGCATCAGCTGCTTGGGAATCAAGGAAGGTCAGACACTTGTAATGTGAAGATGCACTCAGGAACATCACTCTCTGGGTGAGTACAAGAAACTGCTATCACCAACTAAAACTTCAAGAATTTTAGACTTAGAGAAAATGGGTGTCAGTACCTCATACAGAATGCTTTTTTAGGAACGCTCTGCAAATTTGGCGTTTATTCCCTGAATTACCAAATGAAATGAGGAAGGACTAATAGCATCCAAGTTTTCCAAAGAGCTGTTGACTAGATTTACTCTGCCTGACTAGCCAACTCAACCAGGATCTGCAACGTTTGTCTTAGTCAATTACATGGCAAATTGTGAAGCAGACGATTTGCTCTCCTAATCCAAACCACCACGTTCCCATTTAGGAGAATCACAAACCTCCTCCATGTCAGGGTAAGGTTTAATCAGACAGAGTTAGATGCCACCTGGTACATCCAACTCCTCCTTATGGCTAGCTGGTTCACCTGGGGCGATGCTGAACCTCCACCCAACATCCTCAAGGGATCAGAGGTTACTTTCCTGACCACCACTGTCCACAGAGACCTGCCCAGGACTCACCTGCATTTTTCTGTAGCCACCTGCTCCTGAAGCCTATGGCTGTTGTAGCCCCTGGTGGATACTGAGGCCACCTTCAGCCAGAACAAGCTGGGTGGAGGAGTCCTGGACACTGTCCTGTCCCTGGGGCTAAGGTATCAGAAGGCACTGAAGTGACCTGTGGTGGTGAGCCAGAAAGCCAGCAATCATTTTCCCATTTCCAAACAGACATAGAGAGAACATCGAGACAGGTCATCCATCAGCTAACCCTCTTCCCTCTTTAGGACCATCACACTTCTGAAGAGGGAAAACAACCCCACATCCTCCTATGAAGGCTTTTATTTTCTATAGGTATATAATAGTGTAATAGCTTGAGAAGTCATAGACCGTGCCATACGATCTTTGCTTAGATCTTAAATGTTTGCATAAAATACTCTCTATGAAACCAATGCACAGAGAAATGTAGTTTCCATGCACCTGTCAGAATTTTTGCTGTGGAAAGGAAAAAAGAAAGTACATTATCTTTTTAGAATCATGACTAGAAAACAATTAATTGTCAGTAGGCAATCACACCAGTCTGAAAAGATCCATCTTGAAATAAGTTTGTGGGAATTTTTTTGTTTGGGTTTTTTTTTCAGGATGCTGCACTTGAGCAATTGAATGATATCACATTTAAGGTCCTGGGTGGCATGCCATTTCCTTACTCGTATGCATCTAATTAAGTCTTAATTGTGCCATTCGTTATGAAATGAAAGAAGAGCTGTTAGTCTGGATATCTTTCATGATAGTAAAACAGGATGATACCAGTGAAATAGCTAATGTATAGAAAAAGAACAGAAGTATGCAGGGAGGGGGAAAAGATTTTGAAGATAATGATGTTTGAAACACAGCAGAAATGTTAGAAACAGCATAATAGTGAATTTACCACAAATAACTTCTTGATCAACACAAACAGTATGAAAGGTACATTCTTTTTATAGCTCACTGAAGTGTGGATGACTGTCCACGTTCAGAAATACCCAGTGAGCCAAATTCTGCTTTTAGTTACTCTGGTGTCAGTTGGTATCATCCCGGTCTCGTCTTCAGAATGAAACAACCCAGAACTGTTCTTCTCTTTTGCACAGATTGGTTCTTGCTACTTAATGTATCTCCATTTAATTTCATCAAGTTCCCAAAGCACAGGCCTAAAACATGGCTCATATGGGAAGAGAACGGCCAGGCTTCAGGAGATGTTGGATCCGCTTGCACGCCCATCAAGTTTCACTCCTTGTATTGCAGCCCCCCCAGACGGGTCAGTGGAGAACACCCCCAGCAGTCCCACAGAAGCAGGAGTCCTTCCCTCCTGCACACACAGGGCTGGGATTGAAGCCATGGTGCAGGAG